CTGTATTTTTTCAAGATAGCTATAAAATTATAATGAGATGTAATCATTAGACAATATGAAAATGCTCTTCTCTATTGGTTTGGTTTATCAATGTTACGGGAAAGCACACTAGGGTTATCTGCCTAAGGGGAACGGATGCCTTCGTGGAGGACTTTCTAAGACAAACTGCCTTGCATACAGGTTACATATGGGGAAAAGCATGAAAACGTCCGTGCAGCCAGCGCAGTCGCTTTGAACCAAACCCAGTTTGGAAGTACCAGTGTACAGCGACTTTCCCACTCTGCGGCTGGTGGGCGCTGCTGCTCTTGAAGCGGTAGCCTTTTGATGAAGAACTAATTCCATAAATTAATGATGGCACTGCTGCTAATGCCGTCTATTTTATCACAGATTAATTTTCTTCCAACAAATGCTAACCTCTTAGTGAATAAAGAAAATTTGTTCTTTGAAGCATAAGAAATATTTTTGCATAATATTTCCACCGTAAGTTTCAATACTTACCAAGAGATTTTTGAAATCACATCATTTATATACATGAACGCTATTAGAGTTCTTCATCTCTAAAATTAAATACTTATCAAAAATTAAAATAAAGATGACTACTCTCAGTTCAGTAAATTGTTTGTTGTGGAATATGAAATCTCAAAGGGCTTCAGATTTTAACGGTCGTCCAAAAAGGTTTATTTACGCTCTTACTGATCTCTACTGTCTAACATTCTGCTCTTAAAATTCCTCCAGCAAACGCTTTTTTTTTATCTTTTTACCTTTATTAATAAGTATCGTTTTCTTTACACTTACGCCAAATCCAGTTTAACGAAATTTTTAAAAGCTGCGTAGCAGCACGCTGGCGCGTGGGAAATAGCGTATTTTATTCCGGTTCGCGGCAACATATTGCTTTCATAGAGCCGTGTTTCTTAATTAAAACATTTTTCCAAAGAGCAACAATCTTGTGTGCTGGAAATAAAAATGTTTTATTTCGAACAGTGTTGCCACTTCACTTTCAAATCGTTTAATTTGTTAATCAAAAATGCATTAAAGTTATACAAAATATGAATAAAATAATACAAATAGTTTCAAACTCAAAATTAGCCTTTCAGGTGCACATGCTCGGGTGGAGAACTTTGCTATTAAAACTTTGATAGCTCTAGGTACCGTCATTTTTTCACAATGCGAGGGACATATACTGGCCGACATAGAAAATGCAACACCATGAAAGATAGGGTTGAATAATAGTACAAAGATGCCAGTTGTTACATAGACAGAGCATGCATATGTAAGTACGTGATCCTATTTATAGAAAGACAAATTTATACAGTGCCGAAATATACAGGAAATCAGTAAGATGTATGACCACCTCTTGCGGCGATGCAAGCTGCACCCTAAGAGGTACGGATTCACTTTAGTGTGCGGATAGTGCCCTTAGGAATGGAAGCCCATATGCTGTGTTTCCTTCTCCAAAATTCCTCCTCCGATAACAGCTAGGGTAGAGCAGACAAACGACGACCAATCACATCCCAGATATGCTCGATCAAGGATTGCAAGGTACAATTCAAGGAAATGAGACCCTAGAATTTCACCATTGGTCGTACAAGGTGTAGTTCCATCGCACTAACAGTGCAGTTCCACCCCAACTGAGAGAGAACACCGCGGGTTCGATCCGAAGGTCTCTCACATTTCCTTGCTTACCAGCGTCTCAAGAGGATTTTGTCTCGCCGTGTATTTTGAATGTCCCCCTAGCCACACAGACATTGTACGCTTACAAACATCCATGTCTTCTACGGAATTCAAACCTGGCTCATCGGTACGGTAGTTAGTGTCGCTAACATACCGACTAGGCGTCCCTTTCGATTGTCAGCAAGATGTGCTTCTATTTATATCACAAAGGCACGCAGTAAGAAAGGAGAAAACTCTTTACATATGTATGAATAATTTTTTCCTCTTAGAGTTTCACTACCTATTTTTCGTCCAACAATGTTATCATGAACAAGCTGTAACATTTCTAGTAATTTAAATTGGTTCTGTGTTTTCAATATTATATAAATTATTCGATTTTTATCAGCAGATATCGTTAAAAGTCAATTGTGCTTTTGCGGAAAATGAAAAAGGATCTCCCAATTGCTTGCTGGATATGCTTGATACTATACTACCAGACAATGAAAGGGAGAAATATAATAGTTCCTTACATTGCCAACATTACACAACTATATAACTTACAATAATGTAGTTATCAAATTGTTAGTGTTTTTGCAAATAATTAATTTTAATTACTGCTACTTTCAGATCTACGCATTTGTTTATAGATAAATTTGAATTATATAAATTTAATTATAATTTAAAATAATTAAATTCTTATTTTGAATAAGATCTGGAGATCTAGCGTTACCGTTTGTATTTTATTTTTCACTACTTTAATATTATTTCTAAATGTTTTGGTAATTTCATTATATGCATATTTTAAAGTTTCACTTATTTTATTATAATGTTCAATATATATTAATTTTAATACTATATAGACTTAGTTGATGCAATAAACAAATAATTTATGTATTTGTCTAATCTGATAAATATGTATCAAGAACAAAAGCAGACGCAAATTTCACTAAGTTTCCTTATAACTGTTATAACGTGTTTAAGTTTCCACTTCCTACTGATGAAATGCATTAAAATATTCAATATAGTATACTTTCATATAAATAGGTATTTTTATAAACAAATGAACTTTTACATTTTAAATTTTACGAAATAGCGCAATTCAGTCCTCTCAACAAATATTTGCATAGGAATTTAATTTAAAAAAGAGAATTTAAGAAAATCGTATTGTTACCGAATAGTGAAACTATCAATCAGGTATTAAACTAAATTTTTAATTGGTTTAGTTTATTTAATTACGGAAAGCACTCGAGATAAATTGTTAGTAACATACCCACAAAATACCAAGCAACTGCGAAATATTAAAGAATTTATTTTTTATTTAAAGTCTAGGTAAATTAATCAAATGTATAAAATGATATGATTTTTCTTTTCTTAAGACTTCCTCTGCTATATTTATGTTAGTTTTGATATTTTTTTTTCAGTATATAATGCTGCTGATGTTAGCTTGCTTAATTTGTTTTTGCTTTTGCTTTTTTTGAAGAATTCGATAAAAAGGACACTGTAATCCTTTTGTAGCAATCATTATATACTATATTATTCATGCAGTAAAATTCTTTTTATGTCTCTACCTGGTAAATCGTTCTCCAAGAACATTGGAGAAGATCAAGAAAGGAGCTCAAAGGGAATTTCATAAGCTATAGTAGTAACTTAACGGGTTAAATATATAAGGTATTTCTTCTGCCTTCTTAGTGTAGTGGTCAGCACACTCGGCGCGTGCTCGAAGGCATTGCTAATGTTGAGTTAGAAAAACCTTATGTTCTGTTTCTGAGAGAGAAACCTATGTTTTGTTTCTATACTTTGCCGAAAAATCATGGGCACCAATGCTGTGTTACAACTTCCTCTTAGGGAGGAAACTAATGCAGAAACAGACAGGTGAAACCGCAACTAACTAAATATCAACTGAGAAACTAAACTCTTAAGAGTTTGCTAATTACCAAACTTTTAGTGATCGTATAAAGTGAATTTTTAATGCATTGCATTGTGAAAATGCATCCGGGACCGCGCCGTGAGAGGATCGAATAAACAACATGTAAAATCAATATATATAAGAAAAACACATAACAGATATAAAGAAAACATAAGTAATAGGTTTCCAGATTAAATATCAGTTTATTCAGATTCCTCACAATAAAAATTAAATCTTATCCTAATCAGAGAGTCAAATTTCTTATTTGTGTTACATTTTCAATTTACTTATTTTAGACACAGTGGAATTCTTCAATTTGTCATTTACTTTTTGTTACATTTAAATTCATGATTTGCAAATCTATTACATGACTCTTTTAATTTAACGGGTACCCGTTCTATAATTTCTAAGAGGTTAAGGAAAACATATTATTTGCAATTCACATCTGTTCTAAGGAAGATTACACAAACAACTTAAATTATTATATCCTAATTCATATAAAGACCTTAAGGTTTGTCTCGGTAATTTAGAAGGGGAAAGGGAAACAATTGAAAGCCTGAGAATTAATTTAAGATTCGACGTTGTTATTTTACATTCCAAGGAAGTCGTTGAAAACCTTACTTAAAGTTCAAACAAACAAAAAAATAACTTATCTTGTTGGGTACATCTTGAAGTGGAGGACTCGTATCCTAATAAGAGTTGACGTCGGCGGCGCTGATCCATGGTTGCGAATGGAAGTTTCAGAGGACATCGTCTTGTCCTGGCACTATTGGCGAAACACACAAGGCGAAACACACACACACAAAAAAAAAAAAAAAAAAAAAAAAAAAAAAAAAAAAAAAAAACTCGTGCAACGTAGGGCCGAGATTCTTAAACATTTTTAGTATAATTCGCCCGGGTTCAATTTCGCCTTTTAACCAGAACGCGGCAGGGAAGCATGTTTGCAGCTCCCGGCCGGAAACGTCTCTCTAGGCAATTACAGCTCGCCTTCTCTCGCTCATCCCAAGAGCAAGCTCGAAGTTACAATCTTAGCCCAAAAGTAAGTAAGTCTACCCAGTAAGTGATTCCAAGAGTAAGTGAGTAAAGTCTCTAGCCTCTTAGTCAAAACGCGGCCGGGGAGCATCTCTCTTCGTAAATTACATCGTTTTTAACGCTCAACCCCAGAGCAAGTTTCAAGAGTAACGTCCAAAAGTAAGTTCCGCACGAAAATTGATTCAAAGTCGAATTTTCTTCCTCTCCTTCACAAACGCGGGCTCCCACTATGGCTTCAATTATCGCCCCCTTAATTTGGGCAAAATTTGCGTTTCAACCCCGAATGCGGAAATAAGGGCGAACGCGCATGCGCACCTCTCTTCAATTAGCCAAACCGGACCTTCCGATCGCCAAAACCTGAATGACTTACATCGAAGGTTAAGTAGCAACCTCTGATCCTTCTGTCACGTACTTCCTGTCCTAAGGTCAACTGCACAATGAAATTTCTTCTAGAACATTCTAAAGGACAAAGCGCGCGAAATCATGACTTAGCAAAATTGCCTCCCTTTCCCTGCTTCTTTTCACAGTGAATCAAAGCTTGTACAAAAATTGCAAATAAAAGAAAAATAAATAGTATCCTTTAAACTAAATAATATTCCCAGAAGCATCTGTTTTTCCCCAAAATTAAAGCATTAAAATAAATAATTCAGAATCAAATAAAATTAAGCTTTCGATAAATAAGAAAAGCATTCACCTAGTTTTATAACGCGATCAGACAAATTCTCTACACAGCACTAATTTTTCATCCCCGGCGAAGGCATTCCTCATTTTTCATCTCGCCTACTTCTAAATACCTAATATCTTTACATATTTGCTCCATCCTTTTAGCATGCTATCATAGTGTAACGGTAAAGTCTCCTACTACAGCATAACGAACATTGAACAATTTTGATTAGAATTATGAGCCCATGCTCAACAAGAACATTAAAAAAAAAGCAGTTGAAAATAAAAGAAATGTGTTATTCCGAGTATTGAAACACTACAGAAGGTTTTTCTTTTATCTAATGTAGCGGGGATATTTCGCAGTGGCGAGGATTTTCTTTAGCCTGCAGGGTTTTTCTGCTTTTGCATAACAAATTTATTTTAAGTTTGTTACTTTAACTGAACTTCTCAACTTCCCCTCATATTCTCTCGCCAAGATGTTATGTTAAGTGAATTGCTTATTTAAACAGGTGAATCTCTGAGTTTCTTCAGAGCATATTTCGCTAGCTAAGCGCACGTTTCGTTGTTATTTCGCTGTTACGATAGTAAGCCTCTTGGCCATATCGAATTAATCATCACGCCGGCTTAGGTTTTTGTGAGTCCACCTAGTAAGCGTAACTTAAGTGCTATTTTGCACTATTTTATTTTAAGTTTGACTTAATTATATTCTACGTTTTAGTTTCACCGCAAGTTGGACGGTCCCTTGTAACGCACGAAGACCGTGCTTTTCTGTTAACTGTTTTGAATTAATTTAAAGGGTTATTTTTCACCCTTCTTCTTGAGCCAGTAGTTTTCTTTACGCCTGTGCCAGAATTCGCCAGGCCATTTTAGGAGCTATTTTAGCTTATGTGGAACAAGAGAGTAAGACTCTATAAGCGAAAGGTGGCAAGGTTAAATTTGCTTAGCGAATTCATCATCTAAATTATGATTTTATTCAGTTCCTCTATTTTTACACCGAAGAAACTCGGGAGCATGAATGATTACGATTTCGATATTTACGAAGAGCAGTAAACTGCTGCAAAAAAGTCAGATTTTATTCGGTAAATTTTTATAACGTTCTGGTCGTCATTGAGAAATATTGAAACATTATTAAGATATATATTGCTTCTTACATTTCTAAGCAGTGCTTGCTGCTTAACAATGGAAGGTCCAACTGCTTGGCATTTTCTTGGAATTCCCGTATTAGAGTTAATGTATTTTTTAATTTTCACTGTTGTTGCATATTACTTTACTCTCAATTCCCTATATTTTCCGTTATAGTTTATATTATATATTCGTTATAGTTCATATAATATATGCATATTATACATAGTAAAATATATTCCAAAGAGATTTTTCCTGTTTATTTTTGCCGTAATGATTCTTGTAAATATCTACTTTACACCAAATACCGAATTTATTTTCGATTATTCTGAATTACTCTATTCATCGTGTAGAGACATTAGGGTTTTTTCGAAGCTAGAGGAATTAAAAAATTAGCAACGCCTTTGCCGGGAATCGAACCGTGGACCTCCGGAATACCAGCCCAACGCGTGTTTCCGTGGTGTAGAACCACTACACCACGAAAACACGCTAGGAAAGCGGGAGAAGTACCTTACAATTGTATCTTCTAGTCGCTGAAACAAAGTAAAAGATACGGAAAGATAGCGGTTTTATTGCTACCAACTGAATTTAGGTCATGTTTACAATCTCACAATAAAATAACCAGTGGTCACACATTTTAGCTGCTATTATGCTTAGTTTGTAAAAATTTCATATTTGCAAATAGGTAATTTGATTTCAATTTTTGCATTCGTCGGTTAAAATATTTCCTATGTATCAGAGATTAATTGAATTCTTGATTTCTTCGAATCTTAGCTTAATTTTCACCATGTAGAAATGTTAAAATTACTTGCATTTATCTTTCTAAATTATTTTCAGCAGTTTTCTTTTTCTTTGTACACTTTGAATTAATATTTTCCGGATTAATACCATGCTTTCCTTAAACCTGATGGCAAAGGCTGAATGTCTAAAGAAAATCAAAGGAATAAAAAATATTCCGTTATACTATAAAGCAGTGTTTCTTAACCTTTCTAGCGAGTCGCACCCCATTGAATCTGAAAATATATCTCCCGCACCCCATTGAAAAATGTGTTTTAATTTTTTTTAGTCTAGAAAAATACATTTTTTTGCGAAACTTATTGTTTATTGAAAAACATTGTACATTTTATATAAATACAAAACAATATTATTTTTATTAATGACTAGTCTGTTGTTGTTTGTTCATTATTATACTGGCGAAGCGAGGTTACTTTTTTGAAAGACATACGCGTAAGTCACCACTTGCATTTAAGCGATTTCTCGCTTTAGATTTTATATGCAAAAGCGATGAAGATCCCATTTCGCACAAGTAGGGAGTAGCAATGGGTAAGAGTAACTGCAGTGCTCCGTTCGCCAATTCTGGATAACGTTGTAACTGTGAGCACCAGAATTGTTGCAATTCTAATTGTTCGAATTCCATTTGAACATGTCATCTTGCTTGCATTTCAATAAGTTGATCTTTTTTCAGATCACTATCATCCATCAAATTTAGGTCAAATAGAAATGGATCCAGTATCCATCTCTGAGTTTTGGTAATATTTCCGGTAGAAAAATATCCATTGAATGATTCTCTCAATCGTCTCAAATGTATTACAATGTCAGGTAATGTCGTCTCAAATGCATTGTATTCTTTTCATTTTTCGCAATAACAGAATCAAGCAAGGGAAAGTTTGCAAAATTCCCCTTTTCTACTCGACGTATCCAAATTTTCAATTTTGCGATAAATGAAGATAATTTTTCACTAGATATTATTATATTTATACCAAATCCTTGCATTGATAGATTCAATTCATTTAAATGGCTAAATATGTCTGTTACGCAGGCCAGCCTCAGCATTACATCATTTCTCTCAAAATCTTTTACTAAATAACAATTTTGACTAGTCAGTAATTGAATAATTTCCTCACGCAATTCAAAAACTCTGTTAAGAATGCGACCCTTAGATAACCATCGTATTTCGGTGTGATATAGGAGCATGGTATGATCAGCACCGATTTCTTCGCAAAATGCACGAAAAATGCGATGATTAAGCGCTCGCCGTTGGATGTATTTTACTACATTTACTGCTGTAGTTATATGTTGTTTTAAACTTTCTGGCAATGCCTTCGACGCAAGTGCATGATGATGCAACTTCCGGTAATTCTCTTTTTCATGTGTGAAAAAAATCCTGAATTTTTGCCTAACATTGCTGGGGCTCCATCAGTGCATATTGAGCCAATCACATTCATTGGTAATTGATATTTGGTAAAAAAATCTTTGATGCGATTGAAAATATCAATTCCTCTCGTATTCACCTTCAGTGGCTCACAAAATAGAAATTCTTCTATCACCTCTTTTTCCTTCACATACCTGACAAATACCAAAAGTTGGCTACAATTATCAACATCAGTTGACTCATCCAGTTGCATGCTTATTTTTTAGTGGACTGATTTTTATGTCTTCAATTACTTGCATTAAAATATCTTCACTGAGATCTTGTATTCGCGATCGTATAATATCATTCGATAATGGAATCTGTTGGATTTTTTTTATGTGCTTCCGAATCTAAAACTGTTTTAGCAATAATTAAAGGAAAAGGTTTAATCAACTCTTCAGCGATCGTGTGAGGTTTCTTTTTTTTCACATAAATATGCCGCTTAATATGACGCTTTTAATAAAGGTTTTTGAATTGCTGGTCCGCACAATTTTAGGATAGTTCCACTGGTATCAAACCGAGCCTTCTTTGACTTCAAGCTGTTCATGCTATGCGCTTTTTCGCCACCATGCACATTATTGAAATGCTCTAATAACTTTGATGGTTTCAGATTGCTGTTTGAAAATATCTTAGAACACAAGATGCATTGCGGTCGTTGCATGCCATTTTTTTCGGTTGTGCAGGTAAATCCATAACCGGCATACTTATCGTTCCATTGTCGTTTTTTTTACATAGTGGGCTTCACTATAATCAATTTAATTATTTAGAAATAATGTAATATAATATATATAATGTTCTTACATTTGTAATATCACTGAATTCTATTCGGCTTGAACGGGCAATTAAGAATCTATTAGTCTCAAGAGGTTTCTGGACAAGTCAGAATACACAATACACATGTCGCAGACACAATAGTTGACTCTACCTAACACAGGCGCAGTAGATGCAGATACAAATCTGTGAATCCGTAGATTTCATTGGAGTAGCACATGTTGAACTCAGCGCATGCGCAAGCTGGGATAACGTTCTCCGCTTGTATCGTCTCTTCGTGGCTATCGAGGTTTCTCGAAGGTCACGCTTGTATTCCCACAAAGTTTTTTTTTTTTCTTTTCGCCGTCACCTAGCTGCCTGTTCGCGTTCATTTGTAGCGTTCCATGCCTTTTCGAAGCGTAGTGTATACGCCCATCGGCACCGGCTCTTTCCTGTGTCTTTTGCCGATAAGTGAGCAAGGTGCTACCAATTTTTATGAGCTTCAGTATTGGGGACACTAATGCAGATTTCAAATCTTTTATTATAAGAAATTTAATGAATGATATTTAATAATTTTTATGGTTAGGTAGGGGCTACTCCCGCACCCCCAAAATACATTCCCGCACCGAACCACAGTTAAGAACCACTGCTATAAAGAATAAACCTTATCATGAACATTTTAAGTGGTACTATTTGTTGATAAAGCAATATTTATAGCACATTGCCCTTCGTAAAGCAAATTTTGAAAGCAAGATTCGAAATATAGTGGAAATGAATTTAACCGCGTTTGCTAAAACAGGTATATTACGGGTATTCAAGTGACAAATCGATACCAAGAACTTCATTTAAATAATTTAAATTTGTACTTTTTTACAAGCATTCATAACATAAATATGTTGTAGCGTTCCATGCCTTTTCGAAGCGTAGTGTATACGCCCATCGGCACCGGCTCTTTCCTGTGTCTTTTGCCGATAAGTGAACAAGGTGCTACCAATTTTTATGAGCTTCAGTATTGGGGACACTAATGCAGATTTCAAATCTTTTATTATAAGAAATTTAATGAATGATATTTAATAATTTTTATGGTTAGGTAGGGGCTACTCCCGCACCCCCAAAAATACATTCCCGCACCGAACCACAGTTAAGAACCACTGCTATAAAGAATAAACCTTATCATGAACATTTTAAGTGGTACTATTTGTTGATAAAGCAATATTTATAGCACATTGCCTTCGTAAAGCAAATTTTGAAAGCAAGATTCGAAATATAGTGGAAATGAATTTAACCGCGTTTGCTAAAACAGGTATATTACGGGTATTCAAGTGACAAATCGATACCAAGAACTTCATTTAAATAATTTAAATTTGTACTTTTTTACAAGCATTCATAACACAAATATGTTGTAGCGTTCCATGCCTTTTCGAAGCGTAGTGTATACGCCCATCGGCACCGGCTCTTTCCTGTGTCTTTTGCCGATAAGTGAGCAAGGTGCTACCAATTTTTATGAGCTTCAGTATTGGGGACACTAATGCAGATTTCAAATCTTTTATTATAAGAAATTTAATGAATGATATTTAATAATTTTTATGGTTAGGTAGGGGCTACTCCCGCACCCCCAAAAATACATTCCCGCACCGAACCACAGTTAAGAACCACTGCTATAAAGAATAAACCTTATCATGAACATTTTAAGTGGTACTATTTGTTGATAAAGCAATATTTATAGCACATTGCCTTCGTAAAGCAAATTTTGAAAGCAAGATTCGAAATATAGTGGAAATGAATTTAACCGCGTTTGCTAAAACAGGTATATTACGGGTATTCAAGTGACAAATCGATACCAAGAACTTCATTTAAATAATTTAAATTTGTACTTTTTTACAAGCATTCATAACACAAATATGTTAATAAAACATGCCATATTAATGCCATACATTATGTATAAGGTTTTTGTTTTAAATATAAAATTCATCTGTACGTATAATAAAAAATTCTGGCTTCACGCTCTTGTTACCTATTTGAGAATGTTAATAATTTTACCTTTGTGCTTTGCCACAAATGTACTTGTAGTGATTAATAAAAAGTATTTATTTATTATTACGTGTTCTAGAGCGACACAGAAATGCCTTGCCTTAAAGTTGAAGTAACATTGACATATACTGTAATCTCTTGATATTTGCTACACAAAGCACAATTGTTTCTTTCTCCAGAAGTAATTTGCTGCGATTTCTCTTCCCAATCAACTGAAAACTGCCCCACTTAATAAACTCCTACATTCGTACTTACCGAAACAGAAAGTATGTCTTTCTTAACGTTTGACTTAGTTTCGTCTTTCTTGACGAATCACAAAACAAAGTTTTGTAGAATGAAATTAAAGAGATGAAGTACTTTTCTAGAGCAGCACACGAAGAAGACATTTTTTCAGAGAACTCAACTGAGAATAATCTTTCTAATCTAATAAGTTTTCTAATCTAATTGAGTCTTTATTGTACAGAAAATATTCCCGAAACTAATAAATTTCCTATGAATCTATTCAGTCTCTCGTTCACCAAAGAAACAGAGACAATTTGGAAAGAGATGAGGTTGATAAATAAATTATTTCTAATTGTTTTGGCTGTTAAAAGTTGCTGCATTTGCGTTTGCTGAAGCAATACTACAACCGCTTTTATAAAATATTTCGCAGAGTTTCGATGTTTTTAAAAATATTTTGTTTAGTTGGTCTTCCCTCGTTGTGCAGAAGTCCATAAGAAAAATGTCTGAAAAGGCAGACCGGGTGTACTACTTTAAATAAGTATTTATCTAAGCGTTTTGCGCTGTTATGGATATGTGCAGAATTTTTTATTTATTTTGTTTGGAAATGCAGTTATTTTCTATTGCTTTAGATAAGGAAACACACTGTTCTATTTAAAAACTTTTCTGATTGCATACTTGTTCACTGAAATACACTTTGGTTTCATCGTGATAGTTTAGCATAATTTTTGTCCTATAAAAAGTCTTTGCTTAAGTCTTTAAAGCATTAATTGTCGAGATTTTAGGACAAAAAGTTACTAAATAAGGTTTTGCTTGTCAAGCTCCATGTTCGTCAGCAGTGACTGAAACTATATTTTCCTTCTGGACCGCGTCAAACGTTGTTGATTGCCGATATACAATTTAAAAAACTATGATCATCTATCAAATTCTACCCTAATCTCTAGCGTATATGTGAAATCAGATATGGCGGGCTAAACGGAAAGGAAGACAAAATGCTTAACGTGCAAAGGAAGAGTTTTTCTCCTGCAGTTGGAGACACAACACCTCTAAACGTCTTGACTGATTTACAGAATGTAAAATATATTTATTTTTTTAAACTTTATCGGTCCAAACGCTTCACACATTCAGGAAATCACGTAAGAAATCGCATGAGGACTCAATATTTTTGGGAAATACGTAGGAGATAGATTAAAAACAGAGGCAAAGTAGTTCAGTCATTCAATATTTCATATATTATGTATATATTTCATATATCATTATGATGGAAAACAGCTGCAAAGAAACGTATTTATATGTCTGATTCAAAATTTTGCGACGAAGTCAGAGTCATAAGCATAATATGAACAAGATCATTAATAAATATTAATAATAGACAAGTCTAACATTTGAATCAAAAGATTTGCAAAAGAAAGTAATTTTTAGACCATTAACCATTGCATTTATCTGTTATTCTTCAATTATTGTAGAGTCTTGCATGTGTATATACACGCATACATACATATATATACATACATACAGACATGCATGCAAACATACATATCTATACATGTGTTCGTCATAATCTAATAATAAAGATATTATGATATGTCATAACACCCTAAATTTCAAATAATACTCTTCGCTGATGCTACAGCAATTCCGAAACAAAGAAAATAAC